TGATAAGAAAACACCACATACTAAAATCTGTGTCATGCAGCAAAAGCAAAGCTTGAAGGGAATTCTCATAGCCTTAAAGACTCATGTTAGAAAAGAAAAAAGACCAAAAATGAATGAGTTACATTTCTAGTTTACGAAACAAGCAAGCTCATCTCAAGTTAATAAGCCTACCAGGATAAATCACTGAAATAGAAAACAAAAAATATATATAGTTAGAGAGGATTAGCAAGGCTTCAAGTCAGGTCTTTAAAAATGAGTAACAAAATACAGATAAAAATCAAGTAACGCTGATCAAGAAAGAGTGACATCAATAATTAACTTAAATCGAGACATAAGCACACAAATACTTATAGCTGCTTTACTCATATTTGCTAAAATTTACTCATATTTGACAAATAGGAATAAAGCTTTATATAGAAACTATGATTTGGGCTTTCTACGGAAAGCTTTCTTCCTGTTTTTCCACCGTGCTTGTTCACGTCTGTGCTCAATCTGTTCTTTCAAGGGAACGCATCCCAAGGTCGAGGATCTAGGGTCTATCCCACACATACCTGGGGGGATACACTCTGGTCCACGACAGGGGTGGAATCTGTTCTGAGTCAAGGGCAAGGAGCATTTTCACGAAGAGCATGGCATGCTGGGACTCACAGGGCGAAGAGGCAGAGGCAAAAAGGCCAGGCAATGTAAGAGTGAGCTGGGAAACCCCTCCCTATGGCAGGTGAAAGGGAGCGCTGTGGGGTACGGGTTGGACTCCTTACGGCACCCCCGCGGCCCGTTCCGTGGGAGAAAGAGGAGGCTGACTGCTCCCAGAAAGATGTATCAAGTCAGAAGCCTTAAATAGGGACCCTATGAGCTGCAGTCGATTCGAATGGCTGTGGGTTTGGTTTGGGGTTTTTTAATGGGAAGAAGTGAATTAGCTAGGTGGGGCACCGATGACGCTGGTGTAACAGAGACCCAACTATACAGGGTCTGCAGGACATGGGACTTTATTCCCTCTCAGGTGACAGTCCAGAAGTGATCAGGCAGACAGATGGGGTAATTTTGCTCTGTGTCGTCTTTTTTCACCCGCCCCTCCCTTCCCTACGCTCTCCTCCTTGTCTCTGTCGTGAGGTCACTGCCATAGGAGCACTTAAACCCTGTGGAAGAAAAGTGGAAGGAGGGCGATTGTTCTTGTTCAATGTGACACGGAAGTTGCACACATCATTTCTGCCCACATTTCCATAGGGGAAAAACAGCTGCATCTACCTACAAGGGAGCTGTGGGTGACGGAGTCTCAGTGGTCCTAGATGAAGCTACAAATCCAGGACCATGGGATAAGGAGAGAGACATTTGATAATAAACTGTCTGCTTCTCTGCAAGGAAAGCGCAGTCGAGAAAGAATGGTCCAGAAACAGCCGTGTGGTGTGCAGCAGCACTAGCCATAGGGAAGAGCTATGGAGGCAGCCCCCTGCACCTGGGCCTCCCTGCCTGCATTGGCACACTCTTGCCTTACACATCTTGCCTCCGGTCAGGCGGGACACGTTCACTTCATGTACCTCCATAGAACACCCTAAAGAGCTTTGTAAAACCCAGACCCTTTGAAGGTGATAGGAATAATGGCTGACATTAATTGGAATGAACACTGCACACCATACCCCGCACATCCATGCACTGAACAAACATATACAAGGCCACATAGTGGATAGTGACATGTCCCACACCTGCTCAGCAGGAGCTAGTAAACAGCCTGGCTGCACGTGGGTAAAGTATACCGACATGGCCCTCCACCTGTACAAGCTGTTCAGATAACAATGACCGTTCCCACCTGGAGTCCTCTTCACCGGTGGCAGAGGGTGCATAGTCGTGGTTTGTTCGCTTTATGATTGCCAGTTGAACTTGAACTCTTCAGACTCCTGTTGCATTTTGTACATGGGGAATCCATAGTCTTCTACCCTGAGAGAAAACCTTTCTGCAGAAAGTGTCTCTTGAATCCTGAATATATCATACTGTGACGCAGCATCGTGACCTCCCAACAACACACGTGTGGTTCTGACTCAACAGGACATGGGCTTATGTGCAACTGAACAAAAGCCTGCCTGGTCCTGCACTGTTCTCTCATTTTTTGTTACGTATGAATCCATTTTCACAGTCACGGCATCAGTCCATCTCCTGGAGGGGCTTCCTTTTGTTCTTTTACTCTACCGAGCACGCTGTCCTTTTCCAGGGACAGGTCTCTCCTGGTAACATGTACACAGTCTGGGAGGCAAAGTCCCATCATCATTGCTTCGAAGGAGCATTCCAAGACAGATTTGCTTGTTCTTCTAATAGGTGGTATGTAGTATATGGTACTTTCAATATTCTTTGCCAACACCATAATTTAAATGCATCAATATTTCTTTAGTCTGACTTATTCATTGTCCAACTTTCACGTGCATATAAGGCAAACGAAAATGTGATGGCTTCGGTTGGGCACACAATAGTCCTTAAAAGGACATGCTTGCTCTTTAATACATTAAAGAGCTCCTTTGCAGCAGATTCACTCAAAGCAATACATACATTGTTTTGTTTCTTGACTGCTGCTTCCTTAAACATTGATTGTGGATCCAAGCAAAAGCATGTCCTTCACAACCTCAATCTTTCCTCTGTTTGTCCTGATGTTGTCTTTTGGTCCAGTTGTGAGGATTTCGGTTTCCTTTACATTGAGTTGCAATCCATACTTAAGACTACAGTCTTCCATTGTCATCCGTAAATACTTCAAGTCCTCCTTTCTTTAAGCAGACAAATTTAGTATGTAACACCATAAACCTCCATGTCAATATGGGCATAACTAAGCTTGCTGGGATGAGCAGATACTGCAGTTTGATCACACAGGCATCCATGTCTTCTGCTATTTGTGGAAGAGAGTTCAGAGTTCGAACATGTAAAGAATCGATCCCTTGCTCAATCGGCCAGAATGCCCACCTCGGTTTCTGAATTAACTACTTACTCTGGAAAGAGAGTAGGGTTGTTACTTTGAACAACATAAGGATCAGGATTCATACCATTTATGTAAACTCCTAGTGTTGTTTGTTGGCCAATTTGCATGGTTGCCTGAGAGGTTTTTCTTCTTGGAAAACTCAGTCCAGTATTATCCAAACTGGTCACAAGGAAATGAAGACCAAAATCAACTCAATCCCATTGCTGTCAAGTAGATTTCAACTCATCACAACCTCATGTGTTACAGAGAAGAAGTGTTCTGTAGAGTTTTGTTGGCTGTCATTTGAATGCGACATCACCAGACTTTTCTCCAGTAGTGCCACTGGATGGGTTCAAACTGCCAACCTTTCCTGTTAGTTGCTGTTTGTTAGAGTAATCCAGCCCCTAACAAACATGGGGGTCCATAGGGTCCATTGTACGGCAATAATATATAAAGATTATAGTAAAGTCATAGGAGATAGGAGAGAAGATATAATAAAGGAGTCAGACACATTTTATGGTAGCATGCTCACATCAGCCCCTCTTGGTGGTCCACGTGGAAGTGCAGGAGAAAGAGAGGAGAAGGAGAGAGAGACTATATTTCTAACCAAGGGTTATATATACTTAAGGGTGTGCAAGCCCCCCTGATTATAGGTAACCACATACATCACTGGAAGGGGTTGTACCACAGGCAATACAGCAATGGGAGGGGGACGATCTAGGGGTGTACATGCAATAGGAAGAGGAGGGATTAGGGGTACACAAGTGACAAGATGGGCAGATCCTAGATTCAAGATGGCAGCCTAACCTTGGTCATCCTGGAGTGGGCTTGCTTAACCTTTTCTTTGGGCTCTCCAGACAAATAATCACTATTATTATCTGTAGGGTGTGAGCCCCACCTACAGTGGGACAGACAATAGTCTGATTGCTCTGGAAGGCTGATGCCTTCAGGGAGAAAACTTCTAAGCAGCTGATTACACAATGAGCTAGCAAGCAGGAGACCACCTGGGGACAAATCTTTCTGCATCCCACAGTTGTTAAGTGCCTTTGCATTGCCTCTGACTCATACTGGCCCGATGTACAACAGAACTAAACACCACCCAATCAGCCACCAGCCTCACATTTATTGTTATGTTCGACTCTATTTTGTAGCCCCTGTGCCAATCCATTCCACTGATTGTCTCCTCTTTTTGACCAACCCTCCACTCTACCAAACACAATGTCCTTCTCTAGTGACTGGTCTTTCCTGATACTATATCAAAAGCATGAGAGGTGAATTCTCATCATTCCTGCTTCCAAGGAGCAATCCAGCTGTGCTACTTCCAAAACAGATGTGTTCAAATGCACGATACACAATTGATGTGTGTATTGATTGTGGTAAGAGTTGTATGAGCCCTTAATAAAATGATAAAAAAAGTTTTAATATTCTTTACCAACTCCATGGGCGCAAACTATTTGCAACACCGAGGTAGCTAATGAACATGAAGAAGCCAGCACTTTTTGTGTGTCAGAAGGACAGGGTGCCTAGCTTTTTTTTGAAGGAGATGCCCTATCCTTCAAGAACTTCCGGAAGAGACTGAAAAAGGAAGCAAATCTTTCAGCACCAAAGGAGGTTCACTAACTCAAGTTTATAGTTAGGAACAAACATCCTACACCCAAGGACGCAATAGGTTGGTGATGCTGGATTCTCTAGAAGAGGAAATGACCTAATATTGATGAAGTTTGACTCCAGTTTTGAAAACAAGTATCAAACATTTCATAGCATCTCTTAAGTTTCACTGTTTAAGTGATGTTCCATTTCTGGGAAAAGTCAAGAAAGGGGAAAATTTACTTCGATGATCTCTGTTTGTCATTCTACTACTTACTCCCCACTCATCAGAGTTCCCTTGCACTTTAGGAAAAGTGTAACAGACTAGAGTCACTACCCTAGCTTTAGAGAATTCTACTCTTCATAAAGCAAAGCGCATATCCAAAGATGGCCATTTCAAAATGTGTGTGTGTGTATACAAGAGAACTCTTTGTCTTGAAAACGGTTTTGTTTCCAACTAACTTATTTCTTTACTCAGGTGCATTTTTTGAGAAGAGCCCTCTGAGAAACTTCCAGCAGTTGGATTTGGCAGGACATTGTGTGAGCAGCGACGGGTGGCTTGCCTTCATGGATGTGTTTGAGAGCCTTCAACAGCTAGTGTTTTTTGACTTTAGCACGGAAGGATTTCTACCTGATGCAGCATTAGTCAGAAAACTTAGCCACGTGTTATCCAAGTTAACTTTTTTGCAAGAAGCTAGGCTTATTGGATGGCAATTTGATGATGATGATCTCAGTGTGATTAAAGGCAGTTTTAAACTAGTAATTTAAATAAAGGACACTCTAAGCCAACAAATGCTCTGAGGGCCTCATTGCTTTCAGTCTGGTTATTTTAAAATGTTTGCTCAGGAGTGACCATGAATTCTTCCTGCTGGTCTACCAAAATCGATCACTACTCACTTGACCCAGAAAACCCCACCATATCATGCAAATCAAGAGGGCTGAATCTTCAGGTCCCTTTTCAGAACACCCATGAAACTGCCCAGGCCATCAAGGGCATACATATCTGGAAAGCCACCAAATATTTGAAAGACATCACTTTGCAGAAGCAGTGTGTGCCCTTCCGACGTTACAATGGTGGAGTTGGTAGGTGTGCCCAGGCCAAACAGTGTTTAGCCCACTGCTTGGCCACGCAGAGTCAGTGGCCCCAAAAGAGTGCTGAATTTTTGCTTCTCATGCTTAAAAATGCAGAGAGCCATGCTGAACTGAAGGGTTTAGATGTGGATTCTCTGGTCATTGAGTACATCCAAGTGAACAGAGCTCCCAAGATGCGCCACGGAGCTCATGCTCGGGTCAATCCATAGACCAGCTCCCCTGCCACACTGAGATGATCCTGACTGAAAAGGAACACATTGTTCCTAACCCAGAAGATGGGGTTTCACAGAAGAAAAACATCTCCCAGAAGAAACAGAAGAAGCAAAAACCTATGGCCTGGTAGTAAATTAAGCTTAAAGTAAAAGTTGAAAACATATGTTTGCTCATATAGTCCAAGAGTCTAAAAGCACACCGACTCCATGACAATGCGTCCAACACCAAAACATTATCCTTCTCAACAGAGTGATCTTCCCTTAAAAAATATCCCCGTGCACAACAGCCTTCATAGGTAACACCAGAAGAATGCCATATGGAAACCCCACTAAGCCAACATCTCTTAATCTCAAACTCACCTGTCGCAGATTTAAGGAACCGACTTACTCCCTTTGACTTAAGGCTGAAATGCCCTATTGTGAGAAGCAGATGACTGACGTCTCAAGGCTACGGAATTGGTGGTTATTGGACTTTGTTTCCCATCTCTTGCTTTGAGAATTCCCAGTGAATGGTGACCCAAGACTAACAACTATATATTTACTATTTTAATGCTCTCCTTGCTTTCTTATAAAATATAGTAGTCTGGCATACTTACCTGGCAGGGGAGACACCACAATCAGGAAGGTGGTTTTCCCAGGGCAAGGCTCACCCATTGCACTGCGGGTGTGCCGACCCCTGCGATTTCCCCAGATGCAGAAAACTCAACTGCATAATTTGTGGTAGTGGGGACTGCATCCGCACTTTCCCCTGTGTTAAAAAAAAAAGAAAAAGAAAATATATTAGTCTGGTAGGCATGGTTCTGCCTTTATGAATGTCAATATTATTAAAAGTTTTGCCCTATCACCCACCCCCATTGTTTGTGTAAATAGTGCCCAGTCACTTGAGTTTAATCTGTATAAATCAGTAATTCATGTATTGTGGTATGAAAACCTAGTCTTTTCTCAAGTGCTTGAAATTCTATACCATTAACTAAATTAATGACACTATCAATAGAAATACCTTGTGGCCCAGGAGGATATTTATAATATTCTCTATCATAAAATAATGATGTCTCTAAAGTGAACCAGAAACATATACAAGCCATAAATCTATGAATGGATTTTGGGCTTACACTTAATTACAGCCCCAACCTATGAGCAATGAACCATTATGACATGATCCTACTCAACACGCTTCCTCATGAAGAGATCACCGAAGATATGGGTGAAGAAACCACATTGTGCCCAGGTCAGAAAGAATAGCGTATGGGGTCTTAAAGGCTTGTCTTCAAACAAGCAGCCATCTAAGTGAGGCATCAAGTAAACACACCAACCGGTGTGACCCAAAGAATGTAAATAATAAAATCCAAATCAAAGGAGGGGATGGTATTAGAGCTTGAATTCTGAACATCTGGTTTGCAAAGCTATGGAAGACAACGGAAGGCCAAAATCCATTTGCAGGGTGCCCACATTGGATTAAGGCTCCAGGGAAGGCTCTGTGAGCATAGTGGAGGATGGGACTAGCCTTCCTCTCAGAGAGCATTGCAAAATCTAGGATGGCAGATGCAGTTAGGTTAAAATGTTAACACCTTATCGTTCGGTCTTCTTTTTGACCTATTTTAAAGTTGCTTCAGTTTGAGTATTTTCTGTTTTCTTTTCAATTGAGGTTTGGTCGCTGTTGTTTCCTCATTGAGCTTTTTGTTTGCTTTCTGTTTGTTTTGTATGCTTTTCTGTATATGAAATCCAGGATAGGCAAATCTATAGACAGTAACTGGGTTAATAACTACCAAGGGGCTTGTCAGGGGATGCTGGAGAGAAATGGGGGACTAACAACGAGCATGGGAGAAAATGTTCTGAAATTGATTGTGGTGATGATTGTACAACTCTTGTGAATATGATTGGATGATTAAATTGTATGATAAGTGAATTATATGCCAATAAAATGATTTTTAAAAGCAGACAGGTTGAATACAAATATCACCTGATAATGCTGAGAGTCTTCTGTTATTTACCAGTTAGTGACTAAAATGGTCATCAAAGACATTCTGAGACTGGCCTAAGACTTGCTGTTGTTTGCTTGCTCATGGTCAACAGCTGTTTCCTGTGGTTACCCTGAGACCTGAGTTAATCTAAAACAGTGGTTCTCAACCTTCCTGATGCCGTGACCCTTTAATACAGTTCCTCATGATGTGGTGACCCCGTGTTAGTCTAGGTACTTTAGAGAAGCAAATCCACAGAAACTCATGCATAAGAGAGTTTTATATAAAGGTTAAGTGCACATCAAGAAAACATCCCAACCCAGTGCTGCCCAAGCCCACAAGTCCAACATTAACCC